GGCGCTCCGCGTGCAGCTTGATGGCCGATGGGATGATCGTTTGGAGCAGCTCGAGCCTTCTTCCGACTGGTAAGGATGTCGTCCTCCCGGCACTCGCCATCGTAGCCCTCAAACGTCGGGCGGCGCTCTCCTTCCTTGGTGCAGTACTTGCTGGGGTCGTCCAGGTCCCTCGCGGAGGCCACGATGCGGACGGGTTCCCAGCCCCCCGCACCGCCCGCCCCTGCAGCGGCGGTGTACGCCCGCGAGGCGCCCTGGCCCTTTCGGGGCAACTCCCGCAGCATCTTCACCGGGCGCGAGTCGCTCTCCGCCATCAGCTCGTCGAAGATGCATCGGTGCGTGGCGGCGGCAGCGGCGTGGCTGCCAGCGGCGCAGCACAACAGCAGCAGCAACGACAAAAGTGCCGTGGTGAGAGGGGACGGCTGCATCGCTGTTGTCTTTGTCTCTCGGGCTTCCTGAAGGCAAAAAAGGCTTGAAGGCTTCCGCAGGAGTTCGCGAACTCTCTGTGCGGTGGGACGCGCCCGCCCAAGCCGCAGCAACGAAGAGGAGCGAAGGGAGACGCACAACTTGACGGCGCCGCGGTCAAAGGTGGCCGCAAACACGTCCCCAGCACAGGCCGGGGATCGGCAGACGCACACACACACATACACATACACACGTATATACTTGTATTTAAGCTCAGAAAGGGGGCGATGGTGGTGGGCAGAGGTCACGGCCATTGAGAGGCACAGCCGCGTGGGAAGCGAAGGCAAAGCTCAGGGTGAAGTGAGAGCGCCCCCCTCCCCAATTCTTCCTCTCCCCGCCCCTTTCACCTTCCTTCGGCTTTTTGTTTTTCTTTCCGCTCCCACGCCCTCTCGCACTCGGCGTGCGTGCGCTGCAGCGATGTCGTTCGGTTGCGCCACGGCAGCCGTCCATGCGTGCCCCGCGGGCGGGCTACGCAAAGGGGTTGTGTTGCAGGATGGTGGAGTCGCCGGAGGAGACGCTGGCGACCGAGCCGCCGCGGACGACGCACGCCCCAATGCGCCGCACGAGGGCGTCCCTGACCCACAGCTCCGCGCTCGCCACGACGAGGTTGACGTTGTTGTCGAAGCCCTTGAGGATGCCGTGCACCTCCCTCCCCTCCACCGCAACCACGACGCGGCGGTCAAGGTGGGGCTCCAGGGCGAGGATGCCCTCCTTCTTCTTTGCAATGTGGGCCAGCTCCGCCGCCATGGCGCCCGCGCCGCACGCACTTGCTAACTAAAACGACGGAGCGAGGGGGAAAGAAAACTACACATTCCACAAGAAGCGGCTGCAAGCTCACGCACAACAGCAACGACAGCAGAAGCTACCGGGATCCCTCCTCGAAGAGGACTGTCGACGCGGCTGTTGGGGTGCCCCATCTGTTCTTTTTTTCCCTTTGTTTCTTTTCAACTCCTTCGTTTTCGGTCACGGTGGGGCCGCATGCATCGATGAAGCACACACGCACACGCACAATGATCGACAGACACACACATGCACTGACGACGTCACGCAAAGTACAAAAAGAAAAGACAAGAACAACGACGACAACAAATAAAATTGTGTTCGTTTCTTCTTGTTTGTCTTGTGCTTACGGTGCAGTCCACTCCAGCGAGCGTGGGAATTGTTCGTGGTTGACAAACGGAAGGTCCTGCAAGTCCTTTTCGGGGTGGTGTTGTTCCATTTGCTGCACAGGGATAGGATTCAGCAGCCACGTCTGGTCCTCCTCGAAGGGTGTCTGGTCCACCTTGCCAGGAACCTGCTGCATGGGCCAGAGCTTGTTCACGTTGTACAGCGGCGTGGGCTCGGTCGGGTGCGTGAACTGCTTGTCAAGGTACTTTGCCGTGTAGGACATCCAGTCATTCTCCGACTCCGTTTCCTTTGGCGTTGTTGGGAAGCGCGAGGTCGGGGTGTGGTACTCGTGTGGAAACCTCTGCGCGTTTGACGGGAGATCGGGAATGTTTTTGACTTTAAATGTCGTTTCCTCCGCAATGGTGCGTGTTAGCAGCGCCTCCGTTGCGGCCTGTGGGCGGAGTTGCGGCTCCACCAATCGTCTCGGCGCCTTCGCCTCGGCTGGCACCCGCACGAAGCGGAGCTGGCTAACGTCACTCACCCCATCGTTCTCCCTCTGCAGGGCCGCCTCACTGCATTGCAGCCGCCGCGCAATGGTGGCAAGGGTGTCGCCAGAGAAGACAAGCTCGATGGGGCTGAACTCCGCCTCCGGGGTTGAAATCCAGCAGGAGGGGGGGACGTTCAGCTCCGTGACGGATGGATCAAACTCGCCGCCCTCGCCACTTTCGCTACTCTGCTTGTAGGTGAGTGCGGCGTTGCCGTTGGCTTGCTGCAGCTCCTCCACGGTGCAATCGAGGGCAGCCGCGGCCTCGTCCCAACTGCGAATGCGCCTCCCATCCTTTGCGGCCTGCAGCGACAGCACGCGCGGCGCCGCACCGAAGCTCGTCAGCCTACGTGAAGCCTCTCCTGGAACGTTGAGGGGGGCACCTGCCTCAAGCGTCTCCAGCGCCGGGTTCGCCTTCTTGAGTTCCTCCACACCGCAGCCGAGGCGCTGCGCCGCCCTCCCCCAATCCTCTCCCTCCAGTACCGTGCTCACACTGAGGCGATTCACCGGGGCACTCTGCCAGTCGAGGGCAAAGGAAAACATGCGGTGGTGCTCGTGTGTCGTGGGCGTGGCGGGGTCGTGTTCCGTCGGGAACACGGCGCCATCATGAATAACGTTCCTCCTATAAATGGTGTGAAACTCGCACGTGGTTTGTCGGTGCAGCCAGTGCCTTATGTCATACATGCGTTTTTCAAACTCGGTACTCTGAAATGGCAGTTTGCAGACAATGACACGGAAATATTTTCTAAACTCGTAATGTGCGGTGGACATCTCGAGTTCTGTGAAGGAGGTGTCGGAGGCGGAGGTCCAGAACTCCGCCATGCGCACCCACGGCTCCAGCTTCTCCACGTACGGCCACGAGAGCTGCGGGTCGTACAAATTTGTGGCGCCCGGCACCGGCACATTGCAGCGGTTGATGACACCCAGACACTGCTCCTCTAGCCGTTTCAGGTCGGCCCGCACGAAGTTCGCCACTTCCTCCGCGTCGTATTCGTCGGGGCGGCCAAATGGGCCCCTGCGGGCGGCATTGAAGGTGGCGAGCAGCTCCGGATCGACGGCGCCACCCGACAGGCCCTCCATGGCGCACCGCACCGCGCCAAGTTTCTCCTCGGCAATTTGACGACCCACATCCCGGAGGAACATGCAGACGTCATCCGCCAGCTTCATCACGTGGTGGTCCCAGAAGCCCTCCAGAACAATCTTGTAGGTTACCTCGGAGCCGCGGATGCCGTCCTCCTCGGTGTTCTCAAAGACGAATCTCTTGTTGCGCACCTTGGCCACCTCGTACTCGTACCAGTCCTCCGTCTTCCAGCGAAATGGAAACTGGCCGCGGTCCACGGGTATGTTGCCGGCGCAGGGCAGCGGGGCCTCCAAGCGACCCACGTCGCGCTGTACCTGCATGGGCGTCAGCACGCGCGTGTGCTGGTGCCGCTCCTTCACAGCGCGGTCCATGACGGTCTCCAGTGTGGGGGGCGGCGTGGTGCCATTGGCCTCATTCATCTTTGTGAGGTAGGCGTCGCGAAAGGGGAAACCCATTTGCCCCTTTCCACGGGTCTTGCGCGGGTCGTGGCGGGCGAACTGCCGCATGTACTGCACGTACTCCCTGCCCTTGGCGTCGAATTCGTTGTGCGGGCGAAACCGATACGCGTTGGGTGGGGCGCTGGCGCTCCACGGCCGATAGTCGCCGAGGTGGTGCGTCATCGACGTGCACACGTACCAGCTGTCCACGTACTGCTCCTCCGGAACGTCGGGCCGCACCAGCGGGCCGCGGATGCTCAGCGGGAATTTGTCGTCGATGGGATCAATGAACTCGTTCGTCTTGGTGCTGTTCATGCTCTGCGGCGCAGCAACCGGGGCGGGGCCGTCGAACTTCGGCATCTGCGTCGGAATGCGGTACCGCGACCAGTAGTACCGCGGCACACGACTCCGCCGCATCGCTCGCCTTCAGCAAAACTCCCGCGCCTGCCCCCTCCCCCACTCCCCAAAGCTGTAAGCACGCACGCACACGTAGCCGCGCGTCGACGTCTGTCTTGCTTCTGCTCCTCTTCCAGCCCAGCCCGCCCCTGCCTCTCGTATCCGTCTGTAGTGGTACGACTATTTTTGTTCAACCTCCCTTCGGCGGGCATGAGGCGGCGCCCAGGGCGAAACCAAGCAACGATAGTAAAAATAAAGAAAAAAACAAAGAAAAAAAGGAAAAACAAAAATAAAGAAAATATTACATGAAAAAAACAACAACAAAAAACGGCGCCATCGTGGAGGTGTGTGTGTGTGTGTGTGTGCCCTGCATGTTAGTACATGCACCCGCAAAAGCTGGTGACGAGCTGCGCCTCCTTCCCTGCGCTGTGCCTACGTGCACGCCGCGCCGCCCACACGGAACGGCTCAACGCGACCCCGGAAAGACGCATGCAGGCATTCACGTGCCTGCCACCACGCGTATGCCCCGCACAACAACGGAGGACGGAAGGCGGGGAACCGCTCTCACTTCACGTACGTATTCCCTCATCAGTTCGCTCCTGCGCCGGCGCCTCGGGCCGCGGGGTTTGTCTTGGCATCCAGCACCCATCCAAACTGGCGCAGGAACTCTTCCTTGGCGCGGCAGCTGGCGGTGTCCACCGGGGCCTGCAACGCCGCCGGCGCCTCCGCCTCCTCTACAGTACGAAAAACAGAGAACCACAAGAGTCCATCCGCCCTGCCGCGAATGAGAGCAACTTTGCCGTTCCGCAGGCTCTTCGAGAAGTGCACGATGTCCCCCGGGCGAAATCCGAAGCCGGTGTCGTGCGTCGTGTCCAGCGTGATCGTGTTCCCAGACTTTGTTGTGGCCTCCATTGTGCCCTCTCCGTCTCCTTCCTTCAGCTACACAAGCGACACTGCAGGAAGAAGCACCACCGTACACCGCAGTGCAGACGCCATTTCCACCTCCCTCCCCTTTCCCCACCTCCCTCGCTCCCTCGGCAATGGGCGTCTGTGTACAGCGTGCAAAACACACTCGCGATTCCTCTTCACTTCGTTCAGTTTTTTCTTTTCTTCCTTTTTGTCTTAAGCAGGGGAAAAACAACAACAACAACAACAAAACACACACACACACAGTTTCCTCCCCTCTCACCTTGTCTTTTGTTCCGCGCTTCTTCGTTTCGGTTTTCCCACTGCCCCTCCGTGCCAGAGAGAAGGAGAGAGAGAGATCTTCCACACACGTCATTCCCGACCCTCCACGGCACGGAGAGGAGTGAAGCGGCGGAGCGCCCGGCGGACATCTTTACGGCTTCACGCACACGTTAGCACCCAGAAGGACGGCGACGGCGACGAGGACGCTGAGGCCGAAAAACGCCAGAGCTACGGCCTCAGACTCCACCATTGTGCTTCTGGCGCCGACGTCCTCGCTCCAAAGGCTCATCACGTGCAGTGCGTACCGTGAATCGTTGTGCTGCCGCGCCCAAGCCCTGTCCTGCTCCCACGTCTCAGCCCAGTCGCCGTGGGGAATGCGCAGCGGCTTCGGCACCGCCGGCGACCGCGCGACGTCGTTCCAGCCTATGCTGAGCAGCGCCGCCTCAATGGCGGCCTGGGAATCGGCGATGCCGCCACCCCTCATGACGCCCACGCCGAAGTCGGGTGCCGCGGAGGCCGCCACCGCGCCGTCGGACGTGGTGAGAAGGCCGCAGTGCAAATTCTCCGTGAAGCACCCCCACAGTTCCTCCACCAGACTGTGATTTACCGACACCGCAGGAGGAGGCCAGGAAGAAAAAGAGGGAGGAGCAGCGGCGCGGTGCGTGTGGGGGAGCAGCAGACGCAGGATAACATCAGCCGCCTCCGCAACAGCCGCCGCGCGGAGTGCGGAGTGCCGCGCCGTGGTGTCGAGAACGGTAAACACATCCGGATTCGCGTACGTCGTGTTGTACCGCGTGAGTGTGAGGAGCACCTTCTCGCCCGCCGCCGCCGCGGGTAGCAGATCCAGCAGTGTTGTGATGGGGGAATACGGCAGTCGCGCGGTGGAGGCCCGTCGCACGCCACGCCGCTTCAGTTCCGCCTCCGCCTGCTGCTGCCGCGCCGACCCCTCCCCCACACGGCCGTCGACGTGGTAATACAGCGGGGCGTCGTGGTAGGCGACCTGGTCTAGCACGAGGAACGTGTCCATGGCGCCGAAGTCCACCGTGGTGAAGTTCAGGTTGTCCTTGTACGCCAGCGCCGTGCAGCTGCTGAGGCCGGCGCGGGCGCACTCCAGCCGCGTCGCGTCGGAGATGAAGCGGGCGCTCCCGACGCTGCCCACATGCTCGCCGGGGAAGAAGAAGGCGTAGACGTCGCGGTTGGCGCCCCCACCCACGCGCCGCAGCGCCTCCAACACCGCCAGCGTCGCAACGACGGCGCTGGCCGGGCAGTCCGCGCCGGGCGTCGCGCCCTGCACAAGGGACACGGCGGTGGATGCCACTAGTAGTGCGACGGCGCCTTTTCGCGTCTTCTTTTCGAAGTCCATCGACGCCGCGTCCCAGCCCCACCGCATGTCGGCGGTGCTCGTCCACACCGTCCAGCCCCCAAGCGGGGCGCAGGAGGGCAACGCGGGGCCCTCGAAGCAACTCCGCGCCCGCGCGGGGGAGGCGGAGGACTCCGCAAGCGCCATGCCGTTGCGCGTCTCTAGCACGCTCTGCGGGTAGAAGTGGCCCTCGGACCAACGAAGGCGGTTAAACTCGGCGGTGTCCATGAGTGCCGTCCACCCACCGTCGCCATCGCCACGGCCGGCGGCAGTGGGGAAGTAGAGAAGCACAAAGTCGTACACGCTCCTCACCTCGCGAGGGAGCAGCAGTTCCTCGCCGCCGCGGCGACCACCGGAGAAGCGGCAAACTCGCCCGTCATCAGAAAAGGCAACCGCCGAGACGGGCGGCAGCGGCGTTGGGCCACGCGTACGCCGCTTCGCCAGCGCATTGTAGCGCTGAACGGCGACTAGGAAGCATGTCATGTCGTACGTCGTACCGGCCGCCGGCCCATTTTTACTATTCTTATCTGTCTTGTTGCTGCTGCTGCTGCTGCCGATACGCGTCGACAAGACGAGTCCAACGCCACTGGCGGAGAGCGCGTCCATAGGCGCGAGTCCGCGGAGAATCTCCTGCAGCGGCGTCGCATTGCCCCCGCAGGCTTCCACCGACGCCTGCGCCACTTCGGTCACGTGGAGGAGGAGGAGGGAGTGCGGCACAACGGCGCTTCCGGCGATGTCGCAGCCGCCGTACGCAGCCGCCGACGCGTTGCTGGCGCCGTCCCCTTCCACCGTCGCGAAGGCCGCCGTCAAGACGCAGGGGCGCGCCGCTGGGTAGTTGCGGAAGTGCGCCCTGTATACCGCATCATGTGGTGCCGCCGGAATATCGCCTGAGAAGCCGCGTTGGGCAGCGGCGCCGCACAGCGCGAGCCACGCGGCGATGCAGAACACCGCGACCGGTGCCCGCCGCTCGGAGAGCCGGTGGTGCATGCAGCCGGCGCTATAAACTTGTCCGTCTGCGTGAAATCTGGGAGGTTCCCTACGCATCCCGCCGTTGGCCAGCCACACAGAGAGAGAGAGAGAAGAAAAAAAAAGAGACGGTAGAAGAGAAGCGCTTTCACTCAAACATGGCGTGCTTGGGCGGGAGAGGGAGGAAAAATGGGGGAAAAAAAGATCATGAAACGCACAGAGTCTTCCCCTCCCTCCCTCACACGTTGGGGGAACCGCCACAGGAGGCACCGGGTGGCGCCGTCACGGCGAGTGGAAGGTAGTCCGCAGCGAGGCGTGGGACGCGAGAGCCGCCGCTTGCGTCGCATTCGTCCAGTCGTGACTGGCGGCGGGCAGCACGTCGTCGGGGATCGCCCGCGGCGCGGACCGGTACGCGGCGCAGTCCGGATCAAAGCACTTCTGCGCCCACACACGCTGCTGCAAATCGACGGTGAGGTAGACGTTGTTCGAGAGGTGCTGCCGCCCCACGTTGCCGCAGTAGCGCGAGCCCTCTAGCAGCAACAACAGGTAGCGCGCGCCGCGTTGACGCACGCTGCACACCCGGCACGGGGCGCCACCAACGAGGCCCCACTCCCGCGCCACGTGCCGCGCCAGGGCGGCGTACCGCGCGCAATCCACATCCCGCAGTAGCCGAGTCTCGCCGCCGCCGCCCCGAGCGGACGTCACGGCTCCAGCTGTGTCGGCGACTAGAGCTGGAATCGAAACGACCCCACGGTGCCCCGTCCGCAGGGTCACAAGGGAATCAAAAAAGAGTGCCGCGGCGTCCGCTGACGCAACAGGCACTACGGCGGCGGCACTGGCGGAAAAGTACCGCTCCACCGCGAGGATGCCTCGCTTGTGCAGCTTGCAGCTCCCGAGGCAGCGCAGCATGCGGTTGCGACTGTACACGGCGGTGTCGATGACGCACCGAAGCGGGAGAAACGGCAAATGTCGCGAGGGCTGGGCCGGTGGCAGAACGGCGAACTCCTTCGGGACGTCGTGGTAGAAGAGCGCGACGTGCACGCGCGCGTCCGTCAGCGCCCGCTCGTGCAAATAGTCCACGAACTGCCCCACAAGCCGTCCAACGTCGGCGTTGCTGCTGAACCACTGGCCGGCAAACTTCACAACGTAGTGCTGCGAGAACTTCCCGCCCTGGCGTCCCTCCGCTGCACCCGCGTCCGCGGAGCGCATGACCACCACCTCCACACCAGGCCCCAGCGGGGACGCCGTGTCCTCCGCGTCAGAGAGACGTGCGCCACCGCCTTCGTTGTTGCTGTCGCTGTCGCGGCCGCGACGCCGCTCCGCAGCGGCTGCGCTCATCAGTGCGGGGTAGGCACCGCAAAGGAAGCTGCGGAGCTCCGCAAGCAGCACCGTCGTCGTCTGACGGTTGTCGGCGCGCAGGCGACAGCTCCACGCGCAGCACCGCGGCGGCCGCCAGAGAGCCGTCGACAAGGCCGCCAGGTACTTCGCCGCGCCCGGGCACTCCTCCGTGACGCTCTCCGCCCCGCCCACGAGGTCTACGAAGGGGCGCCACGCGGAGTAGTCCCCCTCGCGCTCGACGTCGAGGTAGAGGTGGCACGGCGCGCCCTCGCGGATCAACTCGTACAGGTGCTGCTGCAGCGGCTCAATCTCGCCCACCACGCGCGTTAGACCGGCGACGGTGGTCGCAAGAAACATTCGCGTCTGCGCGGAGAGCGGCGTGGCGCCGTACAGCACCGCGTAGTCCTCCCGGAGCGCCGCCCTCCGCTGCCGTTTCGCCTCGGATGGAAACTTGGCGGCCCCCTCCGGCCTGCGAGCCTCGCCGGCGCCGCTGCTGCTCAGCGGGCGCTTGCGGAACAGCCTGCCGCACGGGGAGGGAGCCGCCGGCGCCGCTGCTGCGCGGAGCGCCCGCGACGCCAACTCGCGCGCCACCTCCTCCTCGGAGGGGAACTCGACGCTGAACGGCAGCCACGCCGGCGGTGCGCCCTGGACCTCCTGCTGCCCCTCCCCCTGCGTGTCGATGAAGTCGAAGAGCTGCTGCTGCGTCGGGAAGAGCCGGCAGTCATCCCCGCCGAAGCGTGTGAGGAAGGTCGACTTGCACCAAAGCATTGGGGCGCCTGCCGTCCCGCATGCGTTCCTTCAGCCTCCCACACAGCCAGAGAGGCGCGCGGCAAACGACGCGGAGGAAAGAGATGCAGCGGCAAAAAAAGAAAGAAAATAAAAAAGAGAGCAACACAGACGCAGAAGCATTTATTTATTTTTTTTGTGTGCCCCCGACGCGTCTCGTTCAACCCGGGGCACCCCTCGCAGACACACACGCACGCACAGCGGCCCTCGTTCTCTTCACACGGCCGTGGAGTTCCTCTCCCTCATCGTCTGCAGGTCGTGCAGGACGGCGCCGAGGTAGGCGCGGCAAGCGGACTCGCGGGCGACGGTGTAGCGCGTCGCAATGGCGCGGCCGGCAGTGCGCCCCTCGCCGCCGCCAACGACGAGCGCCACCTCGAAGAGGCGTCGATGGGGCCGGTTGAAGCGGTCAAGATACTGCGCCAGCGGCTCCCCGTCCGTCGAGAAGGGCACCCCGTTCCGCATGTCGGAGCGCGTGTCGTAGAAGAGCGGGTCGCGAACGGCGTTCTTAAACTTCACCCGCGCGACGCGCTGCCCATTGACGGGCTGCGGCAGCCCGTACGCATCGGCGAAGTAAGTGGCCGCGGCAGTGAAGTCTACGGCGTTGTAAAAGGCGGCGCCGCGCCGGTAGCGTTCCCGCTCTTGCGGCTGCAGCCACCCGTCGTCGTCGTCGTCGTGTTCGTCGCGGACCGCGTCGCGCAGCGCCCCCCGTCCCTCCTGAAGCTCGCGCTGCGCCCGCTCACGCCAAGTGTTGACGGCGTCCAGCCCGCCCGGCCCTGCCGCCAGCGACGCGAGCGCGTTGGGGTTGGTGGCCAGCCCGTCGAGCGTTACCGCGTCGCGCGCGGCGTCCTGCACCCCGAAGCCGCTGCACACAACCGCCTCCTCCGCCGTGCGCCGCGTCCCTGCCGCCGCCTCCGGCCCCTCCGTCGCTGCCTCATCGGGCAGCGCACGCGTCTTGGTGACAAAGCGCAGCGGCAGCCCTTGCGCGGCGAGCACCGCCTCCGTGACGTTGCCGGCGGGGAAGTGCTGGAGCGTGCGCAGCAGCAGCGCCGCCGCGCCGCCTGGGAGGTTCACATCCACGTCGCCGTAGACGCGTGACAGCACCCGCGGCACCACCGCCCCGCCGAACGCCTGCTGCAGGGCGCCTATAAAGTGCGAGAACATCCAGCCGAGCGGACTTTGCCCGGCGCGCAGCGGCGTGAACTGAAACGACGTCCCCGCGACGTCGTGCTCGCGCAGGCCAACGTGCTGCGGCTCCAGGAAGGCCAGCCTGTTCCCCGCCTCGCCACCGGCGTCATCCGCGGCGCAGCCCTCAAGGCTCAGCGGGACCGCGAGCTCATCGAAGTGCAACTCCTTCGCAAATAGGCGCAGCGTGAAGTGGTTGTGCAGCACCGCGTTGAGTTGCCGTGTAGCGTTCATGGTTAGCACGAGGCCGGCGTGCACGGCGTATCGCAGCATAGCCTGGGAGAGAAAGTCATCGATGAGGGTGTCGCCCAGCATCGTGAGGTGGTGGCTCTCTACTGTGAAGTACGGCGTGAAGAGGGGGGCGAAGAGCTGGTACCGCGGCCGCGCCGCCACCGCCCGCGCAAAGTTGTCGCCGTGCGCCTCAACAATGTCCTGCAGTCCGCAGCTGCGCAGGAGCGCCTGCAGTTTGTGCGGCGGCACCGCATGGGGCGAAAAGAAGAGCCGCGAGCGGCGGCACACCATCGGCGTTGGGTGCCCCTACACGCCGCACCTCGTGCGCTTTCTCCCTTTCTCTTTCCTCCCCTATCCAGGCCGTGGATGCCCGCTTTTCTCGCTGCCTGCTCGCCCAAAGCCACTGCGGGGCGCCAGTTGCACGCGCGCGCCAACAGAGAGGGAGAAATGAGAAGCCGTGGAAAGAGCGCGAGAGATGGAGGGGAATACGGAAAGGGCCGTGGAGAAGGGAGGGAAGAGCTCATTCCCCCACGCGTGCTCCGTACGGGGGGGGGGAATCACACATATATTTAAAGATATTTGCTTTGGCTAGACAACGCAGCGTGACTCCGTGATACGCAAACACACACACACACACACC